AACATGTAAGAATAAATACACAAATTTTTATAAATAAATTCCAGGATTTTTTTGGTTTTCCCTAGTATATTGTAAGCCCTAGAATGACAACTAGGAAAATAACTCAAAAAATTGTGTGAAAATCATTAAAGGAACTAAAATGTTACATCAGAAAACACTAATTTAATGCAAAAGAAAGGAGTAATTGAGAAAAACAGGAACAAGAAATACATAAAACATAGGAAAACCAATAACTAAAATGCTGAAGTAAATTCAACCATAAAATAATAACATCAAATTTGACCATATTAAACAATCTAATAAAAGGAAAAGACTGCATGTATCATTATATAAAAAAACATGATCCAACTATATTCTGTTTACAGGAGACATGCATTACATTCAAAGATACAAATAGGGTAATTGTAAAAGGATGAAAAAAAGTCATGCTATGGAAACATTGACCATAAGAATGTTAGAGTAACACTACTAATATAACACAAAAATAGACTTTAAAACAAAAAATGTTACTAGGAACGAAAAGGGAAATTTTATAATGCTAAAAGGGTCAATCTATCAGAAATATATAGTGGTTGTATATGTACCTTACAAAAGAGCCCCAAAATACACGAAACAAAATTTGACAGAATTGAAGAGCGAAATAGATAATTCAACAATAAGAGTTGAAGGCTTCAATATCCCACTTGAAATAACAGATAGAACAACTAGGCAGAAAATCATCAGGGATATAGAAAACTTGAAGAACCCTATAAATCTACTTGATCTAACAAACACCCATAAAACATTTTACCAACCCAAGCAGAATAGACATTCTTCTCAAATACACATGGTACTTTCTTCAGGATAGACCATCTGCTAAGCCATAACACAATCTTCAAATAAATTTAAAATAACTTAAGTCACACAAAGCATGTATTCTGACCACAGTGGAATAAAATTAGAAATCTATCAGGGAAAAAAACTTGGGAAATTCATAAATATGTGGAAATCAAACAAATGATTCCTAAGTAACCAATGGGTCAAATAAGAAATCACCATGAAAATTAGAAAATACTTTGAAATGAATGAAAAGAAAAACATAACATACCAAATTTATGGGATGAAGCTAATGTAGTTCTTAGAGAGCATTTACAGCTGTAAAAGTTGTTACTAAAAAAAGATTTACCTCAAATCAGTAACCTAAAGTTCCACCTTAAGAAATTGAAAAAAACTAAATTACGCCTTAAGCAAGCAGAAGAAAGAAAATAATAAAGATTAAAGTGGGAATTAATGAAATAGAGACCAGAAATTGGAAATAAATGCCCATCAATGAATGAGTGGATAAAAAATGGGGTATAGTTATACAAAGAAATATTATTCAGCTATAAAAAAGAATGAAATATGGATACATGTTACAACATGAAGAGTCTTGAAAACATTAAAAATTTATAAAAGCCCCTGAAAACCGGAACAAGACAAGGTTGCCCACTCTCACCCCTCCTTTTCAACATAGTTTTGGAAGTCCTAACTAGAGCAATCAGACAAGAGAAGGAGATCAGCGGTATCCAAATAGGAAAACAGGAAGTCAAGTTATTCCTCTTTGCAAACAACATGATTCTATACCTCGAAGACCCAAGAGAATCTGTCAAAAACCTCCTTGCACTGATAAGGGACTTTGGCAAAGTCTCAGGGTATAAAATCAATGTGCAAAAGACAGTCGCATTTCTATGCACCAACAACAAACAGAAACCCAAATAAAAAGCACAATCCCATTTACAATGGCCAGAAAAAAAAATCAAATACCTTGGCATCTTCCTAACCAGAGACGTGAAAGTCCTTTACAATGAAAACTACAAAACATTGCTCAAGGAAATTAAAGATGACACAAACAAATGGAAAAATATTCTAAGTTCATGGACTGAAAGAATCAACATTGTTAAGATGTCCATCCTACCCAAAGCAATCTACAGATTTAACGCCAATACACATTAAGTGCCAGCAGTATTCTCCTCAGACCTGGCAATGACAACACAGGAATTCATATGGAAACATAAATGACTATAAATCGCCAAAACAATCCTCAGCAAAACAAACAAACAAACAAAGCAAGAGGTATCACACTCCCAGGCTTTAAACTCTATTATAACACTACAATAATAAAAACAGCCTGGTATTGGTACAAGAACAGGCATATAGACCAATGGAACAGGATAGAGATTCCAGAAGCAAAACCTCAATTTCTCAACCAACTCATCTTTGACAAAGCCTTCACCATCGACTTGGGGAGAGGAGAACCTATTCAGTAAATGGTGCTGGGAAAACTGGCTGACCACGTGCAGAAGATTAAAACAAGATCCCTACCTACCACCATACACAAAGATCAACTCTAAATGGATCAAAGACCTAAATGTAAAGCATCAAACTGTAAGAACCAGAGAAAACGCAGGAAATACCCTTAAGGAAATTGGAACTGGCAACCAATTCCTGATCAAAACCCCAAGTGCCCATGCCATAAGAAATAAGATAGACAAGAGGGACCTCATCAAACTGACAAGCTTCTGCAAAGAAACCATCAAGAGAGCAAGGAGACAGCCCACAGACTGGGAAAAAATGTTTGCCAACTGTATATCTGACAAAGGCCTAACATCTAGGATCTACAAGGAACTCAAACATGCTGAAAAGAAAAAAACAAACAGCCCCATTACAAAGTGGGCAAAAGATATGAATAGACAGTTCTCAAAAGAAGACATATGAGCAGTCAACAGACACATGAAAAAATGCGTAGTCTCACTAGTCATCAAAGAAATGCAAATTAAAACTACACTGAGATACTACCTAACTCCAGTCAGGATGGCCATCATCAATAACTCAAAAAACAACAGATGCTGGAGAGAATGCAGCAAAAAGGGAACACTTTTACACTGTTGGTGGGAGTGTAATCTAGTATAGCCTCTGTGGAAAACAGTGTGGCAATTCCTAAAAGATCTAAAAGTCGACCTTCAATATGACCCCGCAATCCCCCTACTGGGAATATATGTGGTAGAACTCAAATCACTCTATAAAAAAGATACCTGTACATGTATGTTTATCACAGCATTGTTCACAGTAGCAAGAACATGGAACCAACCGTGCAGCCCATCAAAAGAGGACGGGACAGGCCGGGCTCGGTGGCTCAGCCTGCAATCCCAGCACTTTGGGAGGCCGAGGTGAGTGGATTGCCTGAGCCCACGGGTTCGAGACCCGCCTGGGCAACTTGACGAGACCTCATCTCTACAATAAATCAAAAATTAGCTGGGTGTGGTAGCATGCGCCTGTAGTTCCAGTTACTTGGAAGGCTGAGGTGGAAGGAGAGCCAGAGCCCAGCAGGTCGAGGCTGCAGTGGCCGGGAGCGGTGACTGCACTCCAGTCTGGGTGACAGAATGAGACTAACTCAAAAAAAAAAGAGGACTGGACAAAAAAAAAAAATATGGTACATATACATGATGGAATATTATGCAGACATAAAAAACAAAATCATGAACTTCACAGCAACCTGGACGGACTTAGAGTCTATAATACTGAGTGCTCTTTCATAGAAACAAAGAACTGAGTATCACATGTTCTCACTCATAAGCGGACCTTGAACAATTATCATAATACTATAAGAGAATGATTGGCAGTAGTGGGGAACTGCTGAGAGGGGAGCGGGGAAGTGGGATAGGCAATAGTGGGAATCTGCCTGGGGAAGGAGGGGGCACACCTCATTAACAAGGGTACCTGCATAATGAACATATGTACACCTAACCCTGAATTGTACCCCACATCTTTAAAATAAAAACATTAAAAGGAAAAATAAACAAAACAAAATTTATAAAAGGAGTCAGTCAGAAGAAAACTACAATTGGTATGATGACATTTATATGAAATGTCCAGAATGGGCAAATCCATAGAAACAAAAAGATAGATTGTATACCAATTGGAGAGAAGAGAATCTAGCAAGTATGGGAAATTAGGAAGTTTTCTTTGTCCGAGTAAGAGAAACCAAGCAGGACGAGGAACTAGATCTTAAAATCAGACAGAAAATGCTGGTCTGACTTGGAGACAATTTTCTTAGCTTGAAAGAAACAATGTAAAGCACTAAGAACAAACCCCAAACACCAGTCTGGTATATGAGAAACTAAAATGTTGGAAGCTCTTAAAAGGGGTAATGTTTAAGAATATGATAGGGGCATTCAGGCAAAGGTAAGGAATTCTGTCTTGTAGAAACTAAGTTAATGATGAGATATTTAAGGATGTGGGACAAAGAAAGCAAATGCAATTGAGTGAAGAAAAACAAGCTAAGTAAATAATTTCAGATGGCTATTAAAGCTATGAAAATAGATGAGTTCTTCCTTAGAAGATGTGTGAAAATAAACAAAAGCGGAGGAAATGCTCTTATGGATCATATATAATCCCAGGGAGACAATGAAGACAAAGAATATTTGAAAACATATTTGAAAACAGTGATCCATGGGAAGGGGCATTTTTTTTTTTGAGTTGGAATCTCATTCTTGTCACCCAGGTTGGAGTGCAGTGGCATGCTCACAGCCACTGCAGCCTCGACCTGCTGAATTTAGGCAATCCTTTCTCCTCAGTCTTTCAAATAGCTGGAACTACAGACTCACGTCACCACATCTGGCTAGTTTTTGTGTTTTATTGTAGAGATGAGGTCTTACCAAGTTGCCCAGGCTGGTCTCGAACCCCCGGGCTCAGGCAATCCCCTCATCTCGACCTCCCAAAGTGCTGGGATTACAGGCTGAACCACCGCGCCCAGTCGGGAAGGGGCATTTTAAGCCGAGAGATATTCAATCTTCTTAAAAGAAGAGGCTAAGCCAAATGTAACTTTTGCTAAGGAAGGATTTAGCTACTACAAACTTTTCAAATCAAGATGCAGCTGGAATGGAGAAAAGGATTCTCTAAAGAGAATCAAAAAGAACTGCATCAGGGAAGGCAAACATACCAAGTAGTATACTGAACTCTTGTCTTTTCTTTGAAGGTTGTACATTACCTGTTCAAAAGTTGTTGAAGCTTTTCTCCCTTGCTCTAGATCAACTGCAGCTGCCATAAGTAAACATGTTTTCTGTGCAATCAGAATTACTTGATCAGGAGGACAAAACTGGGACATCTGATAAGAAATAACCAGAACATCAATGAATAGTGAGAATTCTGCCAGGTGAACACAAACAATCAGAATGAAGATCAGCAACTTCCTATCTGAATGAGAAAATTCAGCTGAAAAAGCACATGTCACCATAGAAATGACACTGACTGATTTGTGGTTTTAATTTTATATTACTTTTCATTGTTTTTAGTACCTTCCTAGAGATAAAAAGCTTCATTTCTTCCGTTTTCCTATTTTTTCCAGTGACAAGTACTATCATTTGCCCCTGTATTTCTATCTAGCAATTTACTTCTTGGTTTATGCTATAATTTCTAAGTGATTTTCCCCCGGGCAAGTAGATTTTCCCCTTTGTATTGAATAGAGTTAAAATTAGTACATATATTGTCATGGTTGAAAGAGACATTGTCAAATCTTGACAGGTCTTATGCATAACCTCATCATTAACCTTATCCTTTAGTTTCAGGAAAAACTTCCCGCTACTACAATAAACCTCTAGGCCACTTGGATTCTTACATGCCAATCCTATGTGCTATCACAAATGTCAAAACTAAAACCAATTTATTCACGTAATTAGAATAGAAATTATACCCAAAGATGCAAGGACTATTTCTTAGTCTTCCCAAACATTTAGTGATCGTAATAATCACAATTATTGAGTAGCATTTCATTACATTCAATCTCTTTGAGTCTTAGATTACTCTTATGTAATACAAGGGAGTTGTGCTTGGCTTAATTATCTCTACAATTCTTTCCAGCTCTAAAATTCTTGACATTTAATTGATCTAAACATATTATACTCCTGAATGTATATAAAGGATATTCTTTAGCTCCTTTCCTTTTATTCCCTCATCAATATTTGGTCCTCTTTCTGGCATGTAACGTCCACCTTGGAGGCTAACGACTATTTTAAAATGGTTATAGGGTGGCCATCATCAATAACTCAAAAAACACCAGCTGCTGGAAAGGATGCAGGGAAAAGGGAACACTTCTACACTGTTGGTGGGGGTATAAACTAGTACGACCTCTGTTAAAAACAGTGTGGCGATTCCTAAAAATCTAAAAATCGACCTCCCATATAACCAAGCAATCCCACTTCTGGGAATATACCTGGAGGAACTCAAACCATTCTATTAAAAAGATACCTGTGCACACATGTTTACTGCAGCACTATTCATGATAGCAAAAACACAAAACTACCTGTGCTTCCCATCGAAAGTAGACTGGATTTTAAAAAATGTGGTACACATACATGATGGAATATTACACTGCCATTAAGAAGGAAAAAATTATGAACTTCGCAGCAACTTGGATAGATTTAGAGTCTGTAATACTCAGTGACCTATCACAGAAACAAAGAACTGAATACCACATGTTCTCACTCATAAGCAGACCCTGAACAATTAGCAGAATAATAAAAGAAAGGGATTGGCAGTAGTGGGAAACTGCTGGGGTGGGGTGGGGGGAGCACACTTCATCAATAAAGGTACCTGATCTCAAACCAGGTGACGTGGGGACCAAAGTGAGGCCCAAACTTTACTTGTACAATGACCATCTGTAAACCTAACCCTGAATTGTACCTCACATCTTTAAAATAAAAATTTAAAGAAATAAAAAAAAATGGTTATGATTGAATAATTCACAATCATTACAAAGATCTTGCCCTAGGAAAAGTTATAAAGGAGGCCTAAGCTTCTTGTTGATCTTTTTTTTTTTTTAGTTCTTACAGTCTACAGATACTTATTCTATATTTCTATAAACTTATTCCCATAACCTCTCCTAATGTGTTGGTAATTGACAACTGCTTAGAGTATTCCACTCCTAAAGCTACTTACATTTTAATATAGGACTCTGGGAGACTGAAATCCCTTCAGAGACAAAGAAATAAGTCTTTAATGGTAAAACTTTAAGCTCCATGATGGTTGTTGGTGAATTTAGGTACAGGAAGATCTGCCCCATGTTCTTACATTTTACCTTATAAGGAACAAATTTTCCCTAGGTCATTCCTGCTTAGACATATATTAAAAGTTCCCAGAATGATAGACTATGCCAGTCTATACTCAGTCCTCTAAGATAGGCATAATGGACCACAACAGGTCCATACATGAGATACTTACTAGAAGAGACTTACTTTATAAGAAAGTATGAAAAACTCTCTCATTGTCACTGGGTCTTTGTCACATTGCACAGCCAAGTTCCAAGCTGAAAGTTAACATGAAACAATATAATTATGACAATCTATTGTTTAACCTATACCATTATAATCTCTGTTACCTACATCTTTAAGGTTAATATACTAGCAAGAGTTTCTCAGGGGTTAAAAATAAACTTTAGGTTTGTAGAGAAAAATTTTCAAGGTAAATTTAGAGACTTCTATCACTTCCAGTCTTCAATTCTAGACCAATAACCAATGGAGTTACTGCTGAATTTTTTTATAAGTTGGGGACACACAACAAGATTCTTAGTTGACAAAATCCATCTAAAAAAACTAGGATCACCAAGGAGCTCACCAACTGGTAGCGGTCAAAGTAAGTTAAAATTTAGCAAAAACCAAGGTGCATTAGAATCAAAGGCTGAAAAAATTTGCTGGAAAGATTCACATTTTCCAACAAGTAGTGGAAGCCCCCATTAGGCAACATTCAGTATGATCCTCACTTTGGAAAATAAAACATAAAGTGCAGTAAAAGTAGGAAATTACCTTTTCAAACTTTCAAAAGATTGATATCATCAAACTTTTCTATATTTCAAATGTTTGTTACTTTTCATTATTTTTTTTAAGTTTCTTAGAAGCCAGATTGCTGCATTTATTCCCTTTCTCCTAGATTAAAGCCCCATTAAGCCCCGCAAAGCAGGAAGAGGTTTATGTAGAGTCAGTCCACTTTGTGACAGTGATGCTTAATTGCTCTTGCTTGCTTATTACTGTAGTAACTGCTTCCACAATTTTAAAAATCATCTTTATTGAAATAGAGCCTACACAAAGTTTATTACACAGCTCATAATTATATAGTTTGATGAATTTTCAAAGAGTGAATATATTCATGTATCCACTACCAAGATAAAGAAAGATCTTGATCATTACCAGAAGCCCAGAATCTCTTACTTTTATTTTAATTTTTAATTTTAAATATGTGGGGTACAATTCAGGCTTAGGTATATAAATGTTCATTATGCAGGTACCCTTGTTGATGAAGTGTGCCCTCCCCTCCCCTGGCACTGCCAATCCTGCCCCTGCCCTCCCCTGGCAGTTTCCCACTACTGCCAATCCCTTTCTTATAGTATTATGATAGTTGTTCAAGGCCTGCTTATGAGTGAGAACATGTGATACTTGGTTCTTTGTTTCTATGATAGATCACTCAGTATTATAGTCCCTAAGTCCATCCAAGTTACTGCGCAGTTCATAACTCTGTCCTTCTTTATGGATGTATAATATTCCATCATGTATATGTACCACATTTTTTTATATAGTCCTCTTTCGATGGGTAGCATGGTTAGTTCCACGTTTTTGCTATTGTAAATAATGCTGCAATAAACATGCATGCGCAAGTATCTTTTTTATAGAATGATTTGAGTTCCTCTGGGTATATTCCCAGTAGGGAGACTGCAGGGTTGTATTGAAGATCGATTTTCAGATCCTTTAGAAATTGCCACACTGTTTTCCACAGAGGCTGTACTAGTTTACACTCTCACCAACACTGTAGTAGTGCTCCATTTTCACTGTATGCTCTCCAGCATGTTGTTTTTTGAGTTATTGATGATGGCCATCCTGACTGGAGTCAGGTGGTAGGTATCTCAGTGTGGTTTTATTTTAAATTTCTTTGATGACTAGTGAGGCTTAGCATTTTTTCATGTATCTGTTGGCTGCTCATATGTTTTCTTTAGAGAAGTATCTATTCATATCTTTTGCCCACTTTGTAATGGGGCTGTTTGTGTTTTTTCTTTTCGGCACTTCTGAGTTCCTTGTAGGCCTTTGTCAGATATACAGTTGGCAAATATTTTTTCCCAGTCTGTGAGCTGTTTCCCTGCTCTCTCAATGGTTTCTTTGGCTTTGTAGAAGCTTGTCAGTTTGATGAGGTCCCACTTGTCTATCTTATCTCTTATGGCATGGGTACTTGGGGTTTTCATCAGGGATTGGGTGTCAGTTCTAATTTCCCTAAGGGTATCTCAAGTTCTTACAGTTTGAGGTTTTACGTTTGGGTCTTTGATCCATTTAGAGTTGATTTTTGTGTATGGTGATAGATAGGGGTCTTGTTTTAATCTTCTGCATGTGGTCAGCTAGTTTTCCCAGCACCATTTACTGAATAGGCTCTCCTCTCCCCAGTGGTTGATGGTGGAGGCTTTGTCGAAAATGAGTTGGTTGAGAAATTGAGGTTTTGTTTCTGGAATCTCTATCCTGTTCCATTCGTCTATATGCTTGTTCTTGTACCAAGACCAGGCTATTTTGATTATTGTAGCTTTATAATAAACAAATCCTGCTTTTTTTTTTCTGCTGAGGATTGTTTTGGTGATTCGTGGTCGTTTATGTTTCCATATGAATTCCTGTATTGTCATTTCCAGGTCTAAGAAGAATGCTGCTGGTAATTTAATAGGTATTGCATTAAATCTGTAGATTGCCTTGCGTAGGAAAGACATCTTAACAATGTTGTTTCTTCCAATTCATGAATATGGAATTTTTTTCCATTTGTTTGTGTCATCTTTGATTTCTTTGTGCAGTGTTTTGTAGTTTTCGTTGCAAAGGTCTTTCATTTCTCTGGTTGGGAAGATGCCAAGGTATTTCTTTCTTTTTTTTTTGGTGGCTATTGTAAATGGGATTGTGTTTTTTATTTGGGTTTCTGTTTGTTTGTTGTTTGTGTATAGCAGAGGTCCTCAAACTTTTAAAACAGGGGGGGCCAGTTCACTGTTCCTCAGACCGTTGGAGGGGCGGACTATAGTTTTAAAAAAAACTATGAACAAATTCCTTTT